CCCCACAAGGTACCTCCATAACCGCAACTTTGTCCACGGGGACCTGCGCTCCCCCAACCTGTTTGTCGGCGGCGACGGCAGGATTAAGATTGGGGACTTTGGGTTCTGCCAGATCCTGGCATCAGACGCAAAGCGGGTGCGGGAGCTCACGCGCGCCATCAGTTTGAAGAGTTCTGCGTTTGTGGTGTGATTGCACTTGTTTGTGTGCTCTGATTGTGTCATGCGTGACCTCAATGCACTGCCGAGCGGCAAGCTCGGACGCATGATCATGAAGACCCTGTGGTCAGCGGTACGCTAGGGGGCAAAGCAAGCAATGCTGACTAGATGAAGCTCGACGATGCTCGCCTGTGTGTGTGTGTGTGTGTGTGTGTGTGATGGTGAATCCGCGATCTGATGCGAGAGAGGGTGGCAGTTGATGAGCAAGGGTGGGAGGACGCGTGAGGTGGCTGAGTGATGGGGGGGGCGCGCGTCCTGGGTTGGCAGCACCCTGTGTTTCGCGCGCCCGCCGGCTACCTTTGACACCCCTCCGCATGCCCCTCGAGCCGCGTCGCTCAACCTCGGCACCGCAGACTCCCGCGACTCAACCCCACCACCAACCCAGGTCACGGTGACTGAGCAGACGCACCCGCGCTGGGTGGCGCCGGAGATGATGCGGTCCAACGAGCTGTCCAAGGCGTCCGACGTGTACAGCTTCGCCATCGTGATGTACGAGGCGCTGACGTGGCGGATGCCCTACTACGCCATCAAGAGCCCCCTGGTGGGTGGGAGGGCAGGGGGTGTCAGGGCGCGGGTGAGGAGGTCAGGAGGGGTAGGGTGGTTCACACATGCGTACAGCGCCGACACCCTCATCTCCCACCCGCACATGCGTCGTTCACAATACGAGCCTTCTTCAGAAACGTGAGTCACGCAGACGCACATGCACACGTTTACATGCAATTCACATACATTCCTCCCAGATATACATGCGGGTGGGCATTGAGGAAGAGCGGCCCTTCATCCCGCCGGAGGGCGACCTGCCCGGGTCACCCGGGGGCAAACGCCTGGACCTCTACATTGAGTTGATGAAGGTGGGTCGGTTTCGGCGGGCTGCGCATGGACCGTGTGCGTGCGTGCCCCCCTGCGCATGCGCGCGCCTGGAAGTCGGCGTTCCGAGGCGCCCGCGTGCGAGCGAGCGAGGTCTGGGGTGAACGTGTGTCCCGTCATCGACGGCGCCCCGGCGTGATTTCGCAGGCCGCACCAGCACCGTGGCGACGGTGCCGGCGTTCAGTTCCCAGGAGTGCTGCGGATCTCACACAACTCGCCTTTGCCCCCACCCAAACCCAAAGGAGTGCTGGGACCCCAAACCCGACAAGCGCCCAACGTTTGATCAGATCGCGAAGCGCCTGAAAGTGCAGCAGGTGGGGCTCTTGTTGGCGGCCGCGTTCTTGAGGCCCCCTCGCCCCCCTGATGCTCACATGCATGACAGCATCACTCGGGCCCTCAGCCAGGGTTCATTGACAAATGTATGCATGTGCCTGTACTCGTTCAGACCCAGCCCCCCTCAGTGTCGCTGAGCGTGTGCCCACTCCTCCATGGCAGCCACGCGACAGTACCCCTTGCCAGGGTGCAACCCGCGGCCCCGCCAATCCAATGCCTCCCTCCGACCCCTTGACGCCCCCGCCCTCGCCGCAGAGCTGGGCCAAGCTGCAGCCGCACGTGAAGGACGCGGGCATGCCCGGCACTGTTGTTGATAAGCTGAGGAAGCAGGTGGAAGCGTCAAAGGCAGCCGCGGCCGCGGCGGCGGCTGCGGCGGAGGCCCAGGCGCATGCGGCCGACGCCGCGGGTGCCGATCCTGCGGGTAGGGCGACGACTCGGGCGGGCGGGCAGTCTGGGACGCCGGGCGGTTGGCTTTGTTTGGTGCTGGGGCGCGCGCTTGCTGCGCCGCGATCTCCCAGGCACATCATGTTTCGTGCTGGTTGCCACGCACCATACACGTACCGTCCATGCAATGCCGCTGATTATGTCCCTCAAACTCCGTGTCAACGCCCCTGATTTCTCAGCGTCCCCGGAGGCCACAAAAGCGGCCGCCGAAGCGGCAGCAGCCGCGCAGGCGGCGGCCGCCGCCGCCGCGGCGCTGGAGGCGGCGCAGGCCGCGCAGGCGGCGCCGCAGCGCCCGTCGCCGCCGCCGACGCCGAGCAGCGGCGGGCAGAGCAACAACACGCCGATGCTGACCCCTCAGACCTCCTTGGACGTGCTGGCGGTGGGTCGGAATATAAACGGGGCAGCCGGTCCCTTTTTGGGGCTGGGCGCCGCAGGGGCGGTCAAAGGAGGCCTTGCACCGATTGTTGCTTGGCAGGGCGCCCTTGCCTGTCACGGGCGGCCTTGTTGCCATGGGTTTCACCTTCGACATTGCTGCTGAGCCCGTGCGCCCGACCCGCACCTGCAGTCTGTCCGCGCCCCTGGCGCCGCCCGGGCGCGCCCCGCCGTGCCCCTGTCAACCTCTCCATTTCCCTTCGTGCCGCCCGCACGCCAGGCGCAGGCGCAGGGCGCGACGGTCGCCAGCGTGCGGCCCGGGCGCGACGATGCCCCCGGCTACACAGGGCTGCAGGTGACCCCTGCTCGCCCCCACTCCACGCCATTCCTTGCGGCGCAATATGGGGCGCAACAACGCCGCTATCCACGCACATACTCCCTGTCGCCCTTGAATGCGATTTGCCTCACGCCCTTCGCCCCACCGTTCCATCTGCTCAATTGTTCTCTTGCCACCAACTTGGCAGACCATTGCGGACAAGGCTGCACTCCTGACCATCCAAGAGGCGGCTGCAGAGGGCAAGTCCGTGTCCACCACCGCCCCCGCCAGCCTGCACAGCAGCCTCAACGGCGGCGGCGGCGGTGGTGGGGGCGGCGCCGGCGGCGGCGGCAGCGGCAGCGTTGGCGCGGGGCCGTTTGCAGCTCAGGACAGCCCCTTCTTTTCGGCCTTCGCCGCCACCCCGCCTGCCGTGGTGCTGGCGGCCGCCGCCCAGGGGGCGGCCGGGCGCCCCGCCGCGCCGGACGACAGCCCCTTTTTCGCGGCGG